GAATTATTATATTTAGATTACGCTCAGAGCCATTGCCTCAATTTGTAAGATTGATCAAGACATTTTGTTTGCCTCAGACCTGGAGGATTTCTGCATCCAAAGCCTTCTCTGCCTCTCCGCTACAGCAGTTCACCTAAGAACAGATGTTGCTTCTCATAAAACCTGTTTATCTTCGGCCGTCACAGGTAAAATATCGCAGGGCCTGCAAACRCCCCGCTCTTCCGGAGCATAAACATCCCCAATCCCATCCCCACGCACAAGCCAAGCAGCAACTTGTCCTCCCAGTGACTCCTAATAAAAGGCAACGAGCCCGTCACCAAACAGCACGAACCACAGGAGTCCCCAACCACAAGGGTATCACAGGGCCAGAAAAATCTAAGAACGGCAAGGGAAAAGTTAAGGGATATAGCAGATGGTGCCTTAAATGGGAGAAAAATACCAGCGAYGGCAGAGTCTGGGGGCAGAGAGCAGCCAGCTCTCTGATTCGGGTCTCAAAGACCCATTAGGTTGCTCTATTTGTCTTGAGGAGTGATCTTTAAGTATACGGACTATTAAAAAATAGACAAAGGCCATCACAAGACGGCTGTGCTAGAGAATGTGCCTGGAGACTACAGGAGGGAGGAGGTGGTAACTGGAATTGTTAGTAGGGATGAACTGGTCTAACTGCACTGCTGACTTGCAGCCAGTTGACTGAATATTGCTGAAAAGATGTACCTGCCACCACGGGACAAACATGTGGGCAGGAACCTCCGTGGGTGCAATTCCACACCTTCATGGTCTGCATAAGATCAGACTGGAGCTCTTATCCAGCCCCTCCTGGGGCTCYTATACAGCCTTCCAGCATCGTCTACACTTGGTCCGGAGGAAAAAAGCTTATTTCGCAGAAAGTCACTCCAAAATCCGGTGCATAAAACAACTGTGGAAGCACGGAAACGTGGCCAATTCACCCTCCTCTCCTCGGGGTACCTGTGTGGTGTTTCTGCCCTGCAGCCTGAAACGGCTCCGGGGGCTGCTGATGGGTGTCCCGCTGGTTAACAGGAGGTCACCGYCATTGGCCTTCCTGCCAAAGACATCTCACCTGCTCCGGGGCTGTTTCCTTGTTATTTTTCTTCCGGAGAGTGCTGATCTTCCCTGTTGACCTGCTCTCCTGAAAGAGGAAGACTATGGGGGGCTGAGAAGCCACCGTCAGCATCACGGGGGCTCTGCGAGGAGCAGAAATGGGCACAGTTAAAGCTAAGGAAATATGGTCCCACTCATCCCTCGCTGGCTTCCAGCTATGACTAAGGAGGCAAAACGTCTTCCCCTTTGTGTTTTCACTTCCTCAACTTGTCATCTCCTCTTATTGTTTCAACTAGGATTAGATAAAGTCTCTAGTGGCAAGGAATTTGCCTTGGTCTCTATTATAAGCCAGCATCGGGCAAACGGGGCAAGTCAGGCTTCACTAAAGCTCAGTATTGCCCGTTTAGAAATGAGGAGTCATTTTGAGCTGTGAAAACCATCATTTAAATCACATTGCATGGTGCCAGGAGGATCCACCCTTCGGTGCTTGAGCAGGAAGCTTGGGCGAGATGATCTCTAGAGGTGCCTTCCAACCCTGAACACTCTGTGATTCTGTGAATCCTCCCGCTTGGCAGGAGCTCTCCCAGGCACCTGCAGGACATCTCTGCGCTGGGAGGGGAACGARGAGGTGGCTGCGGGCGGGCGGACGGGCGCGTTGGCGCCGCAGCAGCTTCCTCGTGTGGTTTCGGGGAACAGGAGGCCCATTCAAGGTTCACCTGGCCGCCTGCTTAGGCCCCGGTGAAGCGGTTGGTGGGAAACTCAACACCCAGCTGCTCCCAGCCTGYGTGGAAGGGCTGAGGCAGACCGGGCTGCAAGGGCAGTGATGTTGGGGTCACGGAATGTGAGTTAGGAACCTGGGGGTCCAAGTGGCTCCTGAGCACGAGCAGCAGCGAGTCGGGACTGCTGCTCAAGGCCCCYGGCAGGTCTCTGAAGAGCCCTCCAGCAGCCAACCTGCACAGGATCAAAAGCCAAAGTCAGCGTCGCTCGTTGCTCAACAGGGACTACAGCTGCCGCTGGCTTTAGCTGCAAGAAAATCTGTGGGGTGGTGGTGGAGAGTCACTACCTAACTTGGTCACCACCTGATCCGGGACAGACACCTTCCAGGAAAACTGAAGCTGCTCCCAGCCACGGCTGGGCCCGGAGTGACCTGAACATCCCATCAGGGAGAGCCCCCCGCTCCTTGACGCCGCGTTTCCTGCTCAGAGAGATGTCTCCCTTGCCATCGAGCAGGCAAACGACAAGTTAAGCTCTGCGCTGTGGAGGTGACGCTCGCCAGGAAAACAACCCGGGCGCAGGGAGCAGCTCCTGCCTGCCAGGGAAGCTGCTGCGGGCAGYGGAGCGCGGCCCGGCCGGAGGAACGCGGGAGCGCGAGGCCGGCGCYGCCTTCCCACCGCTGCCCAYGCGAYGTCCCRGAAAGGACGCGGAGCATCCGAAGGCTGGGAATTGCTTCCGCACGGGCTTCAGGCTGGGGAAGGCGATACAGGYGCCGGGCACTCACCCTTTCAACAAGGCCTTACCGAGGCGCTCAGCTCGGCACGGAGCTGCCGCAGGTCTGGCCGTCACCTCCATGCCCGAGCGAACGGCCTCCGGCCCCTCAGGCCGAGCTTGCTTCCGAGCATACATGTTAATGCAGCCTGAAATGCAACGAAACATACGGCTGCTCCCCTAACGTGCTCTTGTCTGAGGTGTTTGCCTAATGTCTAAGGTGTTTGCCTAAGCTATTTCTGCTGCTTAGAAATAGATTGTAATTCCAACAAATCACTGAATACTACCAGGTTTTAGTCAAATTTTAAGTCAAGGACTATAATGTATTTAACATTTAGGCAGGATTGCAGAAGTAAGGCCCACCTTGCTGTGTGAGACCCAGCTTTCACAGAATCACAGAATCACAGAATATTCAAGGTTGGAAGGGACCTCCAGAGATCTAGTCCAACCTTCCCRCTCAAGCAGTTTAAGCCAGCTAGACGTGGGGCGGATCTTTCAGGGCTCTCCCCATTCCCACGAGACGCCGGGATTTGGCATATCGGGATTTGCACACCGCGATCCTCGGCTCATGGCTGCCGGCCTGCGGTGCATGGACAGGTGCCTCTCGCTCAGCTGCTTGATTACAAGTGAGAAGAAGGGCCCTCTGCAAGAACATGAGGCCCTTCAAAGGAGCTGCGACCCGTGCAATGCATCCCTGCTGGAGCAGGGGGTTGGACTGGASGATCTCGAGAGGTCCCTTCCAACCTCAACCGTCTCTGCAGGGTGCTCTCAGTGCAGAACCAAGGGCCATCCCTGAGGATGCCCTCCTGCCTTTTCCTGCTTCAGCTCCCAGGTAGCTTTGTAGACTTTACCTACCAAGTGCTCTCTGGTTTTGCTGCCCAGCGGCGCGCGGGGCCCTCCAACGGGTGCCCTGGCACGCGCTCCCTTGGCCCAAAGAAGTAATTCATGCAAATCCCTGCTCCGAGCAAATTCCACAGCAGTACATCTTATCGTAAGCCAAACAAAAAGCACAAATACATATGAGATCCATAAACCTGTATTAAAAGAATTTGCTCTTGTTACAGCTTGAATTTCCCTTTCTCCCTCCAACTGCTCGGCAAACTAACCACCCAACTCTTCCTCATCACTAAACACCAACCAARCACACGCGAAGCACCAAGCTCAGCTGCTGAACTTTGGTGGGGTGGGTRCAAAAAAAGCCCTGTCGCCCAGTGAGGCTTCCTTACACATTCAYAGACTGAATAAATACCAGAACAAAATCCTGCCAGCGGCGCTGCTCCCACCAGGGACAGCACCAAGTTTTGCTGGACTTCGGGTAACTTGTGCGCAGCCTGGGTGTAGTGATGGGAACTCAGATGCTCATTGACCATCGTATTAATAATAATAAAAACCCTTAGGCTATATATGAAGAAAAATGGTTAACACTGAGAACACGCAGACCATGAACCRGTCAGTAAAGGGAAGAGGTGGAAGGGGTAAAACACGAGGGGTTATTACACTTTATTCAGCAACAGGCAACGGATCTTTTTGCTCCCACCTTTTCCCCAATCCCGCCCTGATGTTCACAGAGCTGCCAACACCTAGTGCTTCCCTCCAACATATGCTGCCCAAGGCAAAATGAAGGAAAAACACAGTTCTGCCTCCTAAGATTTCGACTGCGGAGGCTGCCAAGCCAAGGACAAGCCCCTGGCCAGGGCAAACGCCACSGGACGGCAGAGGAGCAACGTGTACCCATGCAACCCTCAGGAGAGGTAATTTCACTGCCCTGACACTTAATTCTGAGCATAAAATTTACGCTAGAAATAACTAAACCGTGGCAAGGAAAGAATCCAGACATTGCATAGTAAATATCACAAAAAAACCCAACTTACAAACACATTTAACTCTGCCTTCATTATTTTATTTTCCAGTTTTGGCCATTACTTCGGCCTTTTTAAGACTAAGGATTTTCCTGTGTTTAATTAAAAAAAGGAGTACTCTCCCTTACCACATTTGGAGATAGACCAGCTTTCCACAGAAGCTCCAGATGATGAAAATAAACTAATAAAATGTATTTTTAGGGCTTTTTTTCTTTTTTTTTTTTTTGAAAAAAGATGACATGTCAGATCCTGAATTCCACCGCAACCGCTAAGTTTCAGCGGAACAACATAATCCCTGTGCTGAGTTCTTTCAAACGAGAGTCATGCCACCTCCGACTGCAGCCCAACAGAGAGCTCATTATCCTTTGGGGGAGGAAGCCGGATTTTTTCCACTTAGTTACGTTCCCAGGTAATTCTCAAATAAGCCGTCCCTTTCCCCTGCGTTTGGAGGGACCCTTTGCTCCAAGACCGCGTTCCCGCCTCATCCGGGCGCTGCTCCGTGATGCCGGCGCGAAGCTCCGGAGCCTCAAATAGCTGCTGCTATTTGGAGGAGAGGCCAAGCTCCAAGGTGCCAAAACGAACCACGCTTCTTCCTACCTTAATTACCGCAAGTAAATCATCCACCTGCAGGTCATTAGGGTCCCATAAAGGTTCTTCTGGCAGGGCCCCCTGTGAATAAACCAAAAACAAGCCTTTTAAATCGGCTACGATGCAGCAGCACCTTTGGAAAACGGAATGTTTTCCCAGCCTTCCAGCAAATCCATTCCCCTCCGTTTTACTCGTGCAAAATGCAACTTTCTGTTATGGGTCAAGCTAGAGACTTGCTCCGAGGCAGGAAGAATATATGGATTTATTCTAAACACCATAGTAACCAGCTTGGGTGTTTACAGCCATCCCAGAGCTTTTCGGCACAGCCGTTTTTATGGGATTTCTGGGTTGGAAATTGAGGGGACAGAGTGACATGCAGCATGGCCTGATAGGGACGCCGGTATTTGGGGGGATACGAAAAGGCAGTGGTTTGGAGAGTCCATAGAGATCATTATGAATTCAGGGACATCTTAAACATTCCCTTTGAAGACGGAAAGATTCAGGCGGCGCCGCTGGGGACAAGTCCTTGGTGCAGGCAGGGAGCTCCCGGGAAGCCGGGGCTGCTCCCCGCTCCAGCGCGGCGCTGGAGCCCGGGATCACGGGATGAGGCTGGCACAAAGGGCCCGGCTGTGGCGGGCACAACAGCAGCATTCAGGAGCAGCGACGCCGGCCRACACGCCACGAGCCTCCCTGCTTCGCCTTCGGGGTGCTCCGAACCCCAGCGCTTCCAGCCAGGAATGTGATCATCCCTCCTCGAGGTTCAGGGGATGAAAGGTGCTCCTAACTACATCAAGAAATACAGGCCAATAAAAGCCCTGCCTGTTTTATTTCCCTGGTTTCTTCCCACGTTTTCTCGAGCTAAGGTCAATGCAAAAGACCAAGAGCACAAACTCAGCACCAAGGCCCAACAGTGCTTCCCTGCTGAGCTGCTCGAGGTTGCATGGCGAGTCCGTGATTTATTTTCCCAAGTTCCTTGCTGCTGGAATACTGAAGAATTTGGGATTAAAAACTCTTTTGATACAAGCCTTGTGGACCACAGAACGGTGGCAGATGCAGCAATGACACAGAGTTGTCCCGAGTCCCGCACACAGCTGGGGACACGCGAGGCCACGTGTCACCCTCCTGGCCTCCTGCTCCTTGCTCTGGCCCCGGCTTTCCAAGATTCCACCTTGGGAATCACAAGTGCTATATTTGCTTCTGGCTCTCAGGAGCGTGTATTTACTTAGAGCAAGGAGTTGAGGCATTTGGAAAAGCTGTTCCACCTACATTGATGTTTTCCCACCCAAACAAAGGAGACCAGAAAGCCAAACCTGTCTGTCACCAAGATTCCTGAGGGTCCCACACCAGTGAGGCAGCCAGCAGCGCGTTTTCCCAACCTGTTTTCCCAAACCTAGACCCTTTGGCTCCGGGATTCAACGCAGCCCCACAGGGAATTGGCTGCAGTTTGTCCTTGTGGCTCGGCTGATCGGTCCGGATGTTTTCAGACACTTGGACAAACCTTCCAACCAGCTCCGGGATTTTGAACCCTCAGCTCTGGCGCAGGAGTTGGGCTGTTTGCTTGGGAAGCCAGAACTGTTCCCAGATGATCCCGACTGCTCCCAGCGGATCCCAACCACTGCATGACAGGTCAGGCTGTTTCCACACTCATCTCCCTCCCCAAATATCTTTTGCCCACATCAGCCCTGTCTCCTGGGCTGGCAACCTCCTTTTGCAGGAGGTTGCACAACCACCCCTCTTTTTATTAACGCTATGTGCCGGTGCCATAAAACAAGAGATAAGAGACCTGAGGCATCCGGAGACGCTGCATTGAACCTATTTAAATAAATGACTCGTTTCCTCTCTCGGTATCTTCTCTGCCAGCCCCCGGGGCAGGAGGCAACCCAGGCACCGTGGTGCAGGTCGCGGCGGRCGCTTGCGGGAGCTCCTTGCTCTTTGCAGCTACTTGGCGCTTCGTTTGAGCCCGTGCTTAATTAGGCAGGTCCCAGTGCTTCGATCAGATAGGCTGATTGGGCCAACATGGCTACGAAGAATAAAGGAAAAAGGAAAAATCGCTAGGAAGAATAAAGGAAAAATCGGCTCAGGAAAGCGGGGCTTTCAGAGCAATGAGACCCGGAGCCCAGGCCTGCCCTTAAGCGCGTGAGTYGCAGCCAGCAAGATCCGTCTTCACCTCCGGGTTTCAGACTTAGCCATTTATATAGAGATATAGATACAATAGATACAGATACAGACATATATATATAATATCTGGCAGGCAGGAAAAGAGTAGGGTTACTTTCCCAAGTATTTCCCTTCAGAGCAACCTGAGAACAGCTAAGGCTTTGGCTGCTGCTCCAAGCGCGCACCGCAGTGCTGCCCACGTGCCCAGCTTGCTGCTCCCCCCTGAACTTCCGGCCCTTTTTTCCTCAGGATCCAGCTTTTCCCGAGTCACGGTGCCTCCTAGGAGCTCTGCTTCCATGGGACAGAAGAATCTCCTCCCCTCCAGGCCGCCCTGGAAACGTAGCCAAGCCTTCAGCCTGTCCTCTTTGCTCTGGAAAACATGGATGAGGTCCTTCCATCCCCCTGATGAGCTACATAACTATATGGCTTTTAAAACAAAGTTGGGAATTTCCGGGCGGACTTTACAAGAGCAGATGAGGAAGTTTCCATAAGCAGCGATACCATCAATATTTCCCTGGTCTATTTACGTGTTCTCAAAGCTCCTAGCTCAAAATGCAGCACCAGACAGCAYTGAGAAGTGCAAGAAAATAAGAGTGTCCAGGCTTAACATTCACACCCAGCTCTGGAAGGTCTTAAAGAACCAAAGCTTCCCCTTTGCTCTCCTGCGTGCGGTTGGGCTGCAGCCGGTGGCATCCCGACAGCTAAAAGGGAAGCAGGGATAAAGCCCCATTTTCACCAAGCCTGGAGCAAGATGCACAGTCTGTGTTCACATCTCCTTCCAGGCTGGAGCAGACACCGTGCTGGAGGGAAAACTGCTCTTGGAAAGGTAACTAAAAAGCAAAATGCAGAGGAAGGGAAAACAGAGGAGACTGAGGGCCCTGACCCAAAGCAGGCGCAAGTCAAGGCAACAGGTCCGGACAGTTTGGGAGCAGGGGGTGTGTTCGGATCCTTATAAAATGCAACGAGTAAGAAGGTGCCATGTCCCACGTGGAGGTCACTGGGCTGCCTTGGCACGACCCAACCACGTCGCACCGTAACCAACTTACCAGATATCCTGAGGACGCAAACGCCTGCGGGGCCACCACGGTGCAGCCGCCTCCACCACCCTTGGTAGCCTCCGATCTGATTAGAGCACCTCCGTTATTAACACAGGTGCGGAGGAAGATGTAGTTATCAGGTGGATCTGTCCTCTATTGTACGTCGGGTCCACACGCGTGTGGGGTCCCACCACGCTCACACATCAACAAACCACAGAGGCGCCTTATCTCCCAGCTTGGTAACCCCAACACTGCAACCAGTTTCCATCAAGATGCAGCAGGAGAATGGGCAGAGCTAACACGGGGCAGCAAACAGCTTCTAATCGCTTCTAGCAGAGCAGTGTTATCACCAGATACGGAAGAGCAGCATGAGGATCTCCCCAAAACAGCAGTGACGCTGGCAGGCGAAGACAGGGATGGGGCCTAAGCAAAGGCCCAACTCCACAGCCCCTCCTCGCTGCCCAGGGAGCAGCTTAGTGACCATTCCCAACCCAATTCAACATCAGGAACTCTACGTCAAAGCTGCTGAACCTCTGCTGGCCAGAGGTGCTCTGAGAGATGGGGTGTTTCGTGGGGCTTTAGATGATGACAACTGTGGGCTGGTTTGGTTTGTTAGGGTTAACATTGTAAAACTACACACAGCAACACTCAAGGTCTGCTCCGCATGGGGCTCACAGAAGAGGCCTGTAGCTAAAGGAATGTTCCCTCTCTTCTTAAAATAATTAAAGTAAYGCTAAACCTGGTATTAGTTGGCTAGACAGAACCAAATCCCACCGCCTGGGTAATCCGGCTGAAAGCCAAGGGTATCAAGGCAAATTAAAGCTGCCTTTAATCCAGACTAATCTCCGTACACGAATCCTTTATTCTCCACTGCCTCCCGCCACCAGCTACTGCTGCTGCTACCAGAGCACCAGGGCAAAGCGGCGTGAAGGTTAACGCTGCAAAAACACAAAACCCCACGATTTTGGAGCACAGTTTCTTGAGACACACACACTCCTAGTGCTACACGCAGCGTTAATAGCTGCATTAAAGCGGGGCACAGCTCTATGCTTGGTTTAATCTTATGTATCCGCACGCATAAAAAAGGACAATTTGTGCATGAATTAGTGTCGTTTCGCTAACTAGGAGGGTTTGATGGCATCGAGTCCTTGCAGCCGGCCACGATCCACCGGGATGGCGTTGGGAATGAGCTGCTGTGGAAGTAGGGTGTCCRAGCCCTGGCCCAGGCTGCCCAGGGAGGCTGSGGAGGCTCCTGCTCTGGAGGTCTCCAATCCCGCCTGGATGCGCCCGGGTGCCCCGTGCTCTGGGTGTCCCTGCTGGAGCAGGGGTTGGACTGGATSATCCCTAGAGGTCCCTTCCAACCTCAACCATCCTGGGATGCTGTGAAACGAGGACTTTGTGCCGGCAAGTCCCCTGGRCAAGGGGATGGTTGCCCCTTCCCCAGGGCGAAGCCCAGACCACAGAGAGGAAGGGGCGAGAAGATCCCGTGGAATTACCATTGTTCCATAGTGACTTTGTCCGGAATCCCCTTCCTTCCCTATTCTCTCCTCTGAACTCTCCCAAATAACTCTTCTAAGCTCCTCGCCCTAACGCCCCATGCGATGCACAGCAAGGGGCTGATTTATAGACCGTGGCAGGGAAAGGCTGCTGAAAAATCGGCTGCCGCAGTGCAAACACACTTGCCAAAAGGAAAAAAAAAAAGGACTCAAATTCCCTGCACTTTGTTTTATCCATCCTGAACACGAGGAAATGAAATCATCCTTGCAGAAAAAAGAATAATCAGTAGAGCTACTCAACCTTCCTCCTTCCCCCTGAATTACAACAGCGATGGGGATGCTGACCAAGACGCCGTGTTGTTGAGGATCCCTGARAGCCCTTGCCCTGAAA